AAACCATAGATTTAGAAAGATGTAAAGTAAAAGGGTGAAAGATAAATAAATGAGGTAAACACCAATCAAGGAAACTTTAATTTGATATCTGAACAAATTAAAATAATAATTTAAAAAAAAAGGCCTCAATTGGTAGCCATAATAGTCTATCTCTACATTATAATAAAATTTTTAGCCCTGGCCAGTTTGGCTCAGCGGTTAGCGCGTCAGCCTGTGGTCCAGAGAGACCCGGGTTCGGTTCCCGCTAAGGGCATGTACCTCGGTTGCAGTTTGTCCCCGGCCCTGGTTGGGTCGTGCGGGTGGCAACCACTCGATGTGTCCCTTTCACATCGATGTTTCTCTCTCTCTCTCTCCCCCTCCCACTCTATCTGAACAAAATATCAAAAAATGTCCTCGGGTGAGGATTAAAAAAAAAAAAAATTTTATTTAGTTTAATTCACTAATAACATAGCCTCAAAATATATAAAGTAAAAAAAATAAGGATCTATAATGAGAAATTTCAAAATTCATCACTATAGTAAAAGATTTTAATATACCTATTTTTGTAACTGATAATTCAAGCAGATAACAAATTGGTAATTTGGATTGTATAATTATCACATTATCTTCAAATATACAAATAAAACTGATCATATGCTAGGTTAGAATGCTAATTTCAATACATCCAAAGGAATTGGTATCATACATTCTCTGACTACATTATAAATTAGTTAGGCAACATTTACTACAAGATAATGAAAGAATCTATAGGCGAGCAACCGGAAATTAAAATACACACTTCTTAAAAATTCATGGATCAAATAAAAAGCCATAATAGAAATTATAAATACTTAAAGGTACCTAGTAGCAAAATATTCATATCAAAACTCATGAACTACACCTAAAAAAAGTGGCACAAATTTATAGCCTGAAGAGCTATAAAAAAAAAGCTCAAAATTAATAAGCTAAGCATATACACCTTAAGAGCTTAGAAAATAAATAACAGAAAAATTCAAAGGTAGGAAGAAGTCATAAAATAAATAACAATTAATGAAAAAAAAGACAGGATGTTTTTTTTTTTTTATGTGAAATATTCCAAGTTCTGACAAAATTACTCAAAATAGAAAGACTATATACACATATTAGTAATGACAAGGAACTCATAAGACTAGATGATGGAAATATTTAAACAGATAACAAGAAAGTATCCTAAACAATTTTATTCTACTAATTCTGCATTTTTATATATATGTGTATATATGAAATGCTTAAATATCTTGGAAAATACAATTTATGAAAACTGACTCCATAAGAAAACCTAAATAGTCCTGTAATCCTCAAAGTAATTGAATAAATACATTTAATATCTTCTGACAAAGTAAATCAAAACCCTGAGGGTTTTGCTGGTGATTTGAGCAAAGATTCAAAGACCAGATCATTCTAATCTTGCACAGATCTTTCCAGAGAATAGTAATAGTGAGAATACTACCCATCTTATTTTATGAGATGATATCATCCGCAGATAAAGTTAGTATCAAAAAAGATAATAATTACAGGCCAATCTCAATTTACATATATATGTGCAAATATCTAATCTTATCTTGATATCTATATCTATACATAAAAATTACTGCATATTTACCATAGAGGGTTTATTCCAGGAATGTAAAGTTGATTTAATATTAAAAAACTGAATAGTATGTAGTTCCCCATATTAACATATTTAAATTAAAAATTATATGTAAAATCCATAGCTATAGAAGCATTCCATAAAACATCTCCTCATAATAAAAGTGCTTACCAAAGTAAAAATTGAACTTTCTTTAGCATGTGACAAAATTACAAAATAACCACAGAGAATGCAATATTTAAAGTTGATATGGTGAAATCTTTCTTATTATCTTAAGGATAAAACAAGATGCCCTTCCCTACTTTTATTCAACATTATACTGGAGATACTAGCCAATGCAGTAGCCAATAAAATAAAAAAATAAATTAAAGTTATAAGGGTTGGAAAGGAAGAAACAAACCGTCATTATCTTCAGATGATATGACCACCTGTGTAGCAAATCTGAAAGACTGCATAGGTAAATTTAAAATTATTAATGGAGTTTATCAAGTTTGATATAAAATCAATATACAAGAGGCAACTGGATTTCTACACACCAGCAACAATAAGCTACAAAATATAATTTGTATAAAAGAAAACATTTACAATAGCAATACAATAGTGTACTTTTAAAGAAGTGTAACAAAAATGAGAAAAAGGAAAGCAATGAAAAATATTACAAAACCTTAAAAAACATTAAACGTGAGCTAAATAAACAGCTTTCTATATCAAGTTCAAAGGTGGAAAGATTCAATGTCTTAAAGAGGCCATTCTCCCCACACTGACATATAGAATTAATTAAATACCTATCAGAATTCTACCAGGTTTGTGTGTTTGCTTGTTTGTTTCTTATTTTGTTATTTAAATATTTATATGGAGGATCAAAGATCCAAGAATTGCTAAAACAGTCTAGAAGAAGAATAAGAGGTGACAGGATCTTTCTTAATAGTTTTCAAGATTTAATATAAAACTATAGTACTTAAAAATAATTTAGTACTGGTGCAGTGTTCGACCAGTAGATAATGGAAGAGAATAGAGAACTTAAAACAAATTTATGCATATATAAACAACTTGATTCACGCAGATCACTGGTGATAGGACAACTGATTACCCATATGGAATAAAAACTATAACAATCAATTTCCAGGTAGATTAAGACTAATTGCCAAATGCAAAACTATAAAAGCTTTTAAAGAAAAATATAGTAAAATTAATTTACTTCCTTGAGAAAACAATTTTCTCAAACAAGACAAACTATACAAGAAAGTACTGGTCACCCTGGCTGGTGTGGCTCGGTTGGTTGGGCATCGTGCACTGGGAGGTTGCTGGTTTGATTCCTGGTCAAGGGCACATGCCCGGGTGGTGGCTCGATTTCTTGTAGGGGGTGTGCAGGAGGCAAATAATCAGATGTTTCTCTCTCCCCCATCTCCTTTTCTCTGTCAAAAATCGATAAACTATCCTTAAAAAGAAAAAAGTACTGGTCACTTAAAATAAAAATTCAAAACTTGAGAGAGAAGGATAGCCTTAGAGAAAAAGAAAATTAAACCAATTTGAAAGCAGATATTTGCAGTACATATGGCTAACAAATGGTTAATTAGCCTTCAGTTCATATAAAGAAAACATTCCAGTGTTCGCTTGGGCAGCACATATATTAAAGAAAATATTCCAACGAGCCAATGAGAAAAAAGACAAATAACCCAATACAAAAAAAAAATACAAAAAAAAAACACTGAACTATCACAGAGAAAGCACCATAGCTTATCAACATAGGCAAAGATGGTCAGCTTCATTACTTATCAGAAACAGGCTCCTGGGAAGCACAAGTGAATGCTATTTCATGCCTGCCAGACTGGCTAAAAATGAAATTTCATAATACCAAGTCATGACAAGTATGCCGAGCAACAGGAACGCTCATCTATTGCTGAAGTGGGTGCAAACCGGCTCAGCGCTTTGAAAACTGCTTGGAAATAACGTAACAGACATCTTCTAACTCTGTAATTCAACACCTTGATGTATATTCCAGGGACACTCCTGTCATGTGAACCAGAAGTCATGTAGGAGAATGTCAGGGGACAGCACTATCTGTTAATATCCCCTATATATAGTAGGCAGCCTTTAGCATGGCCCCCAATAAACTCTTCCCGGGGGGTATTCACAGGTGTGTGTAATCCTCTCCCCTTGAGTGTGAATTGAAACTAGTGATTCCCTTTTAAGGAACAGAGGGCAAACTGATGGGATGTCACTTTTGAGATTAGATTACAAAAGAATCTGGCTTTCTGGCTTTCTCTCTCAGCTTTTACTCTGGAGGAAGCAAGTTCCTATACAGAGGCCCATATGGCAAAGAACCGGTGGGTAAAATAAGGGTACCTTGAACACAGGCACTGTGACACCTGACAGTGGATTGTTTGGCGGAGGCGTCTTGGTTGAGAGGACTAGGGACAGCACCAGATTTCATCATGCAATTGACAACGTATGAATTGCTTATTTCTCAAATTTTCTGTTTAATATTTTCAGATCATGGTTGACCACGGGTAACTAAAACGTTGGAACCAAAGATAAGGGGGGACTACTGTATTGAAATGAAATCAATTGACAAAGAAATAGTTTGGAGTATAAGTGGACAGACACTCGGTCCCTTATGTCTAGTTAGATCTGCACTTCTTCCAATAGTCTCCATGATTGTCCCATAGGTAAATCATTGTCTCCTTCCTTAAGGACTTCTCCCTCCATTGCAGGCTGAGTCAACCCAGAGGCCAGCTCAGAAGCTGTTTACCTGGTAACTGTGTAATTTAGAACTTACCTGAAGGCCAAATGCATTCCAGACCAAACATTCCACAGAATTCCCTGCCCCCACTCTCACCACCCGCCCTCCCGCCCCTCCCTCCCCCCCACAGACACTCTCAGGGCCCCAAGTACAGCACTGGGGTACGGGAGGACTTTAGCCTTGGGGGTGGGGGTTATGCAGAGGCAGGCTATACTCAAATAATTTAAGACCAGGCCGCAGGAGGTGAGGTGACATCGCCTCCAAGGTTCCTTTTAGTTTAAATCACAATAGCTCCTGCGGAGCACAAGGGAAAAAATCACCAGAAAATAGTGGGTCATCACCTCCAGACAAGCAAGGGTGAATGTGGCAAGAAGGAAACAGGGACCGAGCTACAGGAAGACACCAAAGAAGAACCCCACAGGTAATGAGCAAGGAATCCTGCGTGGAACACGTCTGCCACCCTCCCATCGGGGCCCCGCAGAGGCCTCGCTGCAGACCCCACTCCCTCTGACCCCCTAAGCACACGGATATCCTCCCAGGGCCTTCACCCCGACTCTCCTCTCCCGCCTGGGCCACCTGGCTCTGGCAGTGGCCTGTGACACCTCCAGGCCTCTCCTGGTCCAGAATTGATCTCTGGCCCCCACTCACCGTTCGCCCCGCTGATCCCTGCAGGGTTGGGGACCAGAGAAGTGGCTAGGAGAGGGCGGCAGCAGTACCCAAAGGAAAGAGCTTCTCTGCGGAGACAGAGGTGGGATTGAGCCGCGACGAGGCCTGGGCCAGGAATGTCGCAGAGGGGGAAGGGGGGAGGAGGGGGTCATTCCGGGAGCTGATTGGCGGCCGCCGCGATGGGGGCGGAGCCTGGCCGACTACCTTCGGACTGCAGAGGGCCCGCTTTGTGTCATTTTCTGCGCGAAGATGCCGCTGCAAATCCAGGATGGGGACGCTGGCCCACGCCCCAGGGCAGCAGGACAATCTGTTGAAAAATAAATCCGTGAGACTATTTATGAACACGTGAGAGGTGGATACATGCTATCTTTGTATAAGATAACGCACGTTTATTGCCAAGGACGAGTTAAAAATCTCTGGATCCCACATATATTTTTGATGAAAAGGACCAAATATTAAAATGGAGCGTATGATTTCTGCCTTAACGAAAAGATCATGCTCTGCTTATATGAGGGCAGGGCTAAAAGGGAAGAATTGGCTATGGGTACTTATCTTCATAACCACTGAATTGTTTTTAAACTATCACATGTATTGTTTTATGAATTAAAACAGGAAAGGGGTAAAATTCCTACTAACCAATAAATAGGCGACAGATTTTGGACATGAGGGAGACAAGGTATGGCTGTTCAAAGCCTGGACTTTGAAGCCACTGTAACATCCTCTACTGTCCAGCTGGGCAGTGCACGCATTTTCTATGGCTATGGTAACAAATGACCCCAAACTTAGTGGCTTGAAACAACATATTTATTATCTTTATTACTGGACAGTCAGAAGTCCAGCCAGCATGTCACTGGCTAACATCAAGGTGTAGACAGGGCTATGTTCATTCTGAAGGTTCTAGGGGAGAATCAGTTTCCTTGCCTTTTCCAGCTTCTAAAGCCTGCCCAAATTCTTTGGCTCAGTGCACCTTGCCCCAAGCCAACAATCTAATCAATCATCAAAGCCATGAATCTCATCACATGGCCCTCTGCTTCTGTTGCCATGTGTCACTCTCTGCTTCTCCTCTTTCACTTATTTCTGAGCAAGTTTGACCTGTTGGTTACCTTTCTGTTCTGGCCCAACAGGCCTCCCTCAATTCTAAATCTCACTTCCCCTTTTATCCTCACTTCCCTTAGGTCCTTCTGTTCATCTTCGGTCTTCTGCATTGTTCATCTTCACCCCCGAGGGAATTGAGTTCTTTACCAGTGGAAGGTGTAGCGGGTGGAACACCTTGTCAACAGAACACTTGGGCTGTTCTCTCACTGCCGCTTAAAAGTCAGGTGCTGTTCAGAGCTGTTACAATACATGCGACCACATGTGAGAAAAGGCGTTCTAAACTCTGAGGCTAAGTTTCCAGTCTCGGTGGGCTCTCCCCTCCCTCCGCCCCTCCCCAGGCCCTCTCCCAGGCCAAACTTTCCTCCCGGGTTCCAGAGCCAGTCCACAGAGAGCATGTCGGTGACGTCAGAGGAGGAGGGGCGAGGGGCCTAGAGTGAGAGGAAGCAGCTGGGAAGAAGAGGAGCTGAGCAAAACGGCCCCCATTGGCAGTGATTTGCTGGCCGAGGTCTGTAGTCTGCGTGTGCTTGCAGGGTGGATGAGGTCACAGTCTGCACTGGCCCTGTCTCCTCCCAGCCCCCCGAAACACACACACACACACACACACACACACACACACACTCCTAGCCCCTAAAGCGCACACACACATATGGAGCAAAGCCTAGAGGATTCAGCAGCAACTTGGCCTCGTGGATTTTGTATGGAAAACTCTGGAGCCTTGAGTGGGCCTCTGAATGTCAAGGTCATGCTCGTCGCTGCCTGTGCTAACCCTTTCTGCCGCCCGCATTGCAGGATTCCTTTTTTTTTTTTTAAATAAAGGAGGAAACTGGATGATATGTTTTAGCCCTAAAACTGCGACCAAATACATAGGGAGAACACCACCAACTAAAAAATGGTGGGCTCTGGGGTGTGTCTGGGAGAGAATGGGTGGCCAGCCATGTGTCCCTGTTCACTGTCAGTTTCTGAGAGGGAGAGGGACATGGCGGGAGAGAAGTGCAGCTGGCTTGGCAGAGAGAAGGAGAAAAAGCTCAAAGTCAAGAAAACATGGTTTTTCAGGAACACTCAGCCTGCAATCCCTAACACCCATGTGCCTCCACAGGTCCCCCCAGACACCCCACTCCACTGCACAATCACGCCCAGACATTGGCTGTGCCTTTCATCCTCGAAGGCTCTGTAGTCAGAAACTATCCCGCTGTGCCCGGGAGGCCGTGTTGCTCATTTCTAGAAATCTCTGAAAAATGAACCCCTCTGTCTGCCCCCCTATCTCAGGCCAGGCCTTGCAGGTGGTTCTGAGGGAGATTTGCCTTTGGCCGGGAAGTGAGCGAAGGACGAAGTATTGCAGATTTTTGAGAATAAAGGAGGTAAGGGAGAAAGAGCAGTGTCCGTGCCTATGGACAGAAGGGCCGACCCCCTGGTCAGTAAGGGTGCGTTCTTCCTGCCTTTGAGCTGGGACATCGCCCTCCGACTTGAACTGAACATCAGTTCTGGGTCTTTAGCCTGTTGGCCTTCAGACTGGATTTACACCATCAGCTCTCCCGAGCCTCCAGCTTGCCAACTCGCCTTTGTCAGCCCTAAAAACAAACAAACAAACAAACAAACAAACAAACAAAACCCAGATAGTTATTTTACCAGCCCAAAATGGGCTCATTAGGAAATGGCAGAGGAAGGGCAATTCAGGACGTGCAACCTACGGCAACGCACAGGCAAGTGCAGAGAACAGAGGAAAGTTACTTTGTAGAGAGAGAGGGAGAATACAAGGAGCTGTTATAAATACGTCTATTGGACGAAGAAGCGAGGTGGAAGTATAGTGGCTTCCCATTGGTGGAGTCATAGCAGTTTCTCATTGGCTGCGCCTGTTGCTAGGCAGGGAGAAAAACCTTCCTGTTGCAAAGGTGGTAAAGGAACCTTCTTCCTGTTAGAGGAGCCTGCTCGGTGGGTGAGCGGTAATGGCAGAGAACCCCGTATTCAGAGCTTCTGGACCCCAAGTAAAAGGAGGTTTCCCTTACTCGTTTTCTTACCCACAGGTTTTGAGACTTGCCAACCTCCATAATTGTGTGAGGAATTCCTTGTAGTCAATCTCCGTCTCACTATCCATCCATTCATCTAAGTACTCTACCTATATATACATCTGTCTATTGACTATCTCTATCTATCTATCATCTATCTATCTATCTATCTATCTATCTATCTATCTATCTATCTATCTATCTATCTATCTATCATCTATCTATCTGTCTATCTATATCTATCTATCTATCTATCTATCTATCTATCTATCTATCTATCATTTATCTATTGTCTATCTATCTACCTACCTTATTGGTTATTTTCTCTGGAGAACTCCAACTAATACAGCCCCCCGAGTTGTTCATTTGGAATTTTCATTGAAAATTGGGTTGTTGGGAAGTTAACTATAAAATGAAATTTTCATGTTCAGAAGAGGCGCAGGAGTTGATGGGGAAGATGGGGAGAAGGTGGGATAGCAAAGGAAGAGGAAAAGCCGTGCCCACACCCACGCCTGTCATCGTGAGGGGAGCCTGCACCCAGGTCTCGGGGCTGCTGTGCGGGTGCTGGTGGTGGGTCCCCAGCTCCTCCCCGCCCCCCTTGTGGACGGAGGGTTGGTCAGCTGGACAGATATTTTGACCTTCATGTCTAGTTAGATCTGCACTTCTTCCAAGAGTGTGCTCAGCTCCCGGGGTTGTGTAGCGGAGAACTTGGGGACTTCTGCATGCACTCGGTCATTCATTTCTGCAGACCTCTGGGAAAAAACAAGGCATGTATCAGGACTGAAATTCTGAGATGAGAAGTAAGTCAGGGGAGTAACACTAGTGGAGTAAAACAGTAAAGATAATTGCCAAGAAAAGTTTTTTCCCCCTTTGGGACCAGAGTCTCTAACTCATAGATGTTCATTCCTATGTTTCACAAGTTCACAAAGATCTGCCATTGCAACCACACGCACCCTTAAGACTGCTGCACTCCCTGCCCCACCCAGGAACTGTCTGTCCACCTGCCCTCGCACCCTTGGTGCCATATTTCAGAAAGTCTTAGGGGTGAAAACTCCCTCACCTGTGCTCCTGTTTCAGCTCAGAACATGCTTAGAAGGAGATTTCTCTTTGGAGAACTGATGAGGAAATAAACAGTTTGGAGGCTTAAAAGGTAGGACAAGAGAGTGAAAAGGACAATTATTGTCCAAAGAAAGCTCTTTTCTTCCTTCTGGGCTTCCCTGGAGGGCCTCAGGGGCTGGGGCTGCGGTGGGCGTGGATTCAGTAAGATTCCTAGACACAGCTGTGGGCTCGGAGGCTTGGGAAATTTGTAGAGCTGAGTGAAAAGAAATTGTAAAACGATTTAAAATTTTTACTTAAGTTTTGTTAAAATGTGTTTTTTTTTTTCCTTTTTCTTTTAAAGGATCAAGTTCTTTCTTAGGTACTGGTTCCGACACAGCTTTCTCGCTGAAGGGCTACCAGAGACACTCTCCACAGCTGGACGTAACCAGGTCCAGCTGTTCTTGGAAACGATCACCAAGGGCGATGGGGTAAAGAAGCAGAAAGGAGAAGGTAGGAGGGTGTTTTTTGTTTTTGTTTCTTCCCATTGCAATAAATTAAAAAGTACAATCTGAAAAAGCTCAGCTTGCCTTCGAAGAATTGAAAGGATTAGTCATGGGCACGGGTTTTCCAATGCATTAGGGGCACTGTACCCTAACAGCCCACAGAGCGTCTTTCTGTTCAGGTGGGAGGGGGCGAGGAAAAAAACATGTTTTAGGCAAATTAGCTGTAAAACAAACAAACAAACAAAACCTCCCACAGACCCAATCTGTTCTTTCAATGAGTTTCAAATGCCACGCAAGATAAACGGACTATTAGAGTGGCAGAAGGCAGGCGGTCTAGAAAGGCTGTCTCAAGAGTCCATCAGTATCAGAAAACCCCAAGACAGCTTTGCTAGTTATCCACGAGGTTCACTGAGTTCCATGGACATGCTCTCACCTTGGTGCAAACTAGGGGCTCGGCTTAGGGGGCTGGG